TTTCCATAACATAAATTTAAAATCTCCGAATTGTTTTCACTTTAAACAAAAGATTTCAAACATTTCAATTAAAAAAAATGCTATGTAAAAAAAAAATTAAATATCCGAGATTGAACTTTTAAAAACCTTGACATTTTCGAGATTTTCAAATTTGAAGCTCCACGGGGTGCGAAAGTTGCAAACTTTCCTTATTGGAACCTTAACGAGGTTCGAAATTTTCGAAACCTTTCGAACTCCACATTTGGGACGTTCGCGGCCTATGTATTTCGACATTACAAATTAGTGGTTTTTTGCTTATCGCACTGTCTTACTAAATCCGATTGGCGACGTAGGATTGGTTTGAATAAAGGAAGAATATAGTACCGAAAATGGCTTGACAATAATTGGCCTTTATTGCTTTTGGATTTTAAAATTCTAATTAATTGTCGAATGATACTGTTTGCACTTCCCGGGCCCTTGAGAGATTCTGAACAAAATCAGCTTTTAGAAGAGAATCTACGAGCAATATATTCCGAAGCTTAGACATGCTCGAAGAGTCCAACCATCAGTGTGGTGGTCATATACCAGGGGTGGCCAGGCCAACCAGGCCTAAGAGCCGCAAACGAAACCACGAAACTTTTAAGAGCCACGGGGGGGGGGGGGGGGGGGGGGCAAGTTTAAATTATGTTCAGAGTCTGACTGTACGTAGGAGTGCACAAGGCTGTACGACAGTACGTATGGAGGTACAAGGCTGCCAAACCCCGAGTCGCACTTCATTCTGCCTGAAATCCCTTCTTTTTTTCCTGGGGAAATGCGGGAAGGGGGGGGGGGTCCCCTCACGAGGGATCCGCGAGCCGCACTTGGACCAGCAAAGAGCCGCATGCGGCTCGCGAGCCGCGGTTTGGCCACCCCTGTCATATACGGTCATTTGCCAACGACTCTGGCTCTGTTAATTCGCCGCGATAAAACAAACTTAAAAAGGAGTACATTAAGCTCGGGACATGAACTCGGCTGGTCTAATTCACCTTGACTATTAATGACGCTAATAACCTTCAACAATACTTTTTGAAAAAAAAACAACAACAAAAAAGCAAAGAAACAACAACAAGAACGTAAAGCCGTTTTGTGTTGTGGAAAGAATCGAACACCTTAAACCTCATCAACTAACTTCCTCATGACATGAAGGATGCAAAAAAGCATGGCTGTCTTTTCTAAAGGTAAGCTTAGGTAATTGGTTAGGCCAAAGAAAATTGTTCGCTCATACCTATCCACGAATTCAGTAAGCAAGCGACACCCAGCGTGAAAACGGAAAAGTTATCTAGTGAAGGCAAGGCCGCAAAGATTGCCGGCGAGCAGAGCTTTCCTCAGCCGTTCCACACTTGCGCTGCCCAGCAGAAGGAGCGTAATTATGCCTTGTTTCTCTAGAGTTTCACCAGGCGGCGGTGTTAACGCGGAATTCCAGTCTTTCTGAAATTAACTTTGATTTATCCTTGAGAAGGAAAGCGTGTAGAGTTGGCCGGCTTAGTTGGCCACATGCCAGACACCTGCGCCGTGCCGCGAGCTCCACCGGCCACACAACACACTTGTGAACGAAAACAACTATAACAATAAAGGAAAAAAGAAAAGAAGGAAGACAGCTAGGAAAACTTTAAAAACAACAAGAAAAAGAAAACGCCATAAAAGGAGGACATGGTGATCCCAAACTGCAATTGTGTAGTGTGCATGTTTAGCGAGCCGGAAGTTAGTCAGCCCCAGTGGGAGTCTGATGTCTCAGTTGTAGATGAGAATGTAGCCAGTGCAGTACCACTTAGATCTTTAACGTGCACCACGCAGTGTGAGTTGAATGATGTGAGTCGCTACAGATTCGGCGAGGGCTTGCGAAGCGGCTCGGGAATTTGAGAAAACAATATAAACTTGGATTCTATGCTGTGGTGTCGATACGAAACAAAGAGCAGGTCGCAGCCCAACATCGAGTCAGGACTGAGAGTTGCGTCGTCCAAACTTTATCGTTTTTGAGAAACTGTGCTCTCACAAACAAGCACACTTTAGTAATTAGCAACAGTCATTCCTGCTGACATGCTTTTTTTTCTGCAATGATTTTTTTGACTAGCTGATCCCCTCCGACCAAATCAGCTCTCTGATAAAATTTCAGCGTCAAATGTTTGTTCACTGAAATTGAAAAGCTTGCGGCACTGCCGAAAGCAGAGGGCGACAATTGAGCCCGAGCCCGACGCCGACCTTCGGAGAATACGGAGAAGAACGCTGATGCCGTATTCGTCTCCGAACTGTGTTTGCGCTTAACCTCACCGCAATGACGTCGAAATTATATTGCTGCAGGCTTTGATTATTCAAGGTGGTGTAGGTTAAATTCTTGCCCGTTTCGATCTGGATGGTCATCGTACCGGCGTGCGGTTGTGCATCTCCAGTGCTAGCAGGCGTACTGCTAGCACTGGAGCAATGCAGTACGCCTGCTAGCACCATGCTAGCAGGCGTACTGCATTGGCTAAATTTCTCACCTACAGCGTATAACAATGCCACCACACCCCAAAGGTCAACGAGGTAGGGGGCTTAAAGCGATAAACTGGCAGTTGAAATTGACGCCCAATTGGCCGCCGCCATGTTGCACATTTTTAACCACTATAGCACGTGACCTTATAATTTTACGTCTAGGATTTAACGAAGTACTGTGCAAGAATAACTGCTTATTGATCTTCATAACGGTACCGATGAGATAAATTATGTTTCGTTTGTTTTAAGTTCCAAATGTGCTTCTACGACAAAAACTCGGGTAGCTTCGCAATGCCTCAGCTAGATGCCGTCAGCCGCGGTGCTGGATTCTGGTTTTTTATCGGAGCTAGGGCTAAAAGTATTGGGAAAAATAGTATCGTGTTTTTTTACATCGATCGCAGTGTAAATCTCGGCTCAGTTTTGCGTAAAAGCCTCAGGATTTGGTACGGTCACGTGTCTAGTGGTCACAAGTGTACAACATGGCGGCAGCCAAGTGGGAGTCACTTTTGCCTGGTGAACGGGATACCAGTTTATCGTTCTAAACCTCTCTACCTCGTTGCAAAAGGTAGTCAAACTCACGCTGTCTGAACGTCTGACGTCTATATGACTTTCGACTTTTGGCATCATCGGTTGTATAATTGGTTTCTAAAACTTTATTACTTCAATTTTACGCAGAGCTTGTTGTTTTACAATGTGTATATTTTCACTCCTAAACTTGTCGAGACTACAGAATCGGTTTGCCCAAAAGCACTTTGATAAAACGGAAGTACTTGGAACCATAGAGCCATTATAATGAACACAAGAGTTTCAAATGGCCCGAGGGTGCTGTGCCGAATTGAAGCAGACAGCAACCTGTCAAAAATTGACTTCTGGGTAGCTAAACTCGTGGAGCAAAACATTCTTCGCTTTTTGACGTAGCGGGGGGAGTGACCAAAAGAACGCCGCAAAGTTTCCTCCTCCCTGCGCGCGCTCAACTTCGCAACTTTTGACGAAAAATGCCCCGCGATCCCTAGGCGGTGCACGAGAGCACGAGACAGCGCGGAGAGGCGAGCGTTCACGCCGCTCGCTGTACGTTGTCTTTGAGCTCTCTAGCGATGACAATCCCGTCATGCCTCGCCCAGGCGAGGAGCGAGAGCAGACGACGAGAGTTCGTCTGCTGCGATGCGGCATTCGCAGAGCGGAACTGAAAAAAAAAAGTGGTTTTTCTGCTTGAAATCGCGTTCCGCGGGCCACAAACTCAAACACGAGCTTGAATTGTAAGCGTCTGATATTTCACAAAGGGAGGAATCGACGGCCCGTGTTTTATTTGCAAAATTTGAGTCTTTTGTAGCCGTACAGACGCTGAAACCTACCAGTGTGTAATGAAAGGCCCAGGACAACCACAAAGGCCGCGAGATCTAGCATCATTTGTGTATGGGTGAAAAGTGGAACATTTTTCGACAAACTCCCACAGTAGAAACCTGTGACGCATTCACTCAGCGTCCGGGAAGGCTAAACATGGAGACGTTGCTCTAGACTCAAGCGAAGTCATTTTTGAACGGCAGCTATCTTGCCCCGCCATATTTTGTTTTGAGAAAGCTCTCGGTTCTCAATGCCCTCACCAGGGAAATAAAAAGTCTTACGAAACGTATTGCTAGATGTTCCAAAGAACTAGATTTAAGCCGTATCCTTTCAGTGGTTCACCCATAATACTATGCTTAAAACGAAGCAAGCTCTTGCGCGTACAGTGCCATCAGTTTTCTCAATGTATGCTGTTTTGCATTCAGCTGGTTTCGGAAACTTACGCCGTCTGTAGATATCTCTGACAGCCGAGTTGCTTAATTGGAAGTCATCGCAAATGTAAGTTCCACGTTGCAGGCAACCAAAGTTTATAGATAAACGATGGCAGCGACTGTACTCTCGCATTCCCACCCATCACGTCGAACAAAAAGGCGCTAGTTTTGGTTTGAGGTCGGTACTTTTCTGCAACATCTATGGCGACAGCATCAGTCTGCACTCGGTGCATTCGGCAAGTTCGTTCGGGGCCTGTTCTCCGTGCAGCACTTCGCGGTTGTAATGCATTAGAACTCTCACAGTGCAATTCTGGATCGCTAATCGGTAGCCCGTCACTGGCCTCACCGGCGGCCATTGCTTGACGACACCCAGGAGTAAATATGGCAGTTGGGACCAGCTATATTCCCAGCTGCTTCCCAGCTGAGCTGGTTTATGGTGAAATTCCCAACCCAGTTGGAAATGCAGCTGGGCCCAGCTGGTAATTTTGACAAAAACCAGCTCTGCTGGTCCCAGCTGGGACCAGCTGGGACCAACTGCAGGTATTCCCAGCTGGGACCAACTGCTGCTGGTCCCAGCCAGGACCAACTGCAGTTGGTCGCAGCTGGAAATGTGGCCAGAAGCCAGTTCAGTTGGTTTTAGCCATTGTTGGCAGCTCATCCGCCACCGTCAGTGACAGCTGCATGGTATGGACACAATGCATGGAAATGTAATTTTATTTCAAGGTTTATAGCCTTGTGGCGCTACAGCTTTTTCTTCAACCTCTCTTCGGAACGCCTTGCGTCTTGGCACTTCTCTCTTAGCAAGTTCCCTATGTCGCAGACTACTGCAGCTGCTGCTGCAGACTGTTTGTTCTGGTCTCCCCAGAAGGAAATTGCAGCTAGAAAGAAATGTGTAATTGTTAGCAGTATATATATGTTTTGAGGACTAACCCTACTCTGGGCAGCCTCATAGGCAAAAAGTAAAATGCCACGACTCGTAAATGAGTCAATCCAACCGAGGACGAGGTGTGCTTTTATGTGCACAAAATTTGTTCTGCCAAAAGCAGGAAATGCGACAGTCAATGCCACCGCCTTAAATAATCAGTGCCTTTGGCGTTTGGCTACAATATTGAACAACGAGATGAAACAGACACACAATATATACCCAAATTGAGATTTCAATTTCCCCACAGAGGATTGGCCTAAACCAGCTCACCCTGAACAACGTCGATCTTCTCAGGTGTTAGAGGAGGCTTTGCTGGCTCTCCGGCTGCTCGCTTCTGGGGACATGTTGTTCCAGTTACGCTCCTCGTAGCAAGTACGGCGTTCGTCCAAATCGCTTGAGCTGTTTCTTTACCAACAATTGTTGGCTTTTTCCCCCGAAATATTTTTGCAGCCTGGCCACTGGAAATGACTATCCCCTTGGTCAGGTGAAACTAGAAAGTATAAAATATATTGTGAGCACAACATTTATATTATTACGTACAGTAGTTAAACATTGCTACAATAAAAGAGGAAAAGGAGCACGCTTTCTCCATATTTCTGGCCATCAATTAAAGGGCTATACTAATTTGGGAACGCATACATGTTCTTTCATTCCCTTCATTTGCATGTAGGGACTACCCAAGTGTCACTGTCAGGAAACAGATAAAGTTCTTTTATCTTCATTTTAAATTTGATTCTGTGATTTCACTAAATATATACTTGCCAATCGAATAAACAATTTTGGCATCCAATATTTAAGGAAACAATAAAATTAGCAGCATTGCATTATGCAGAGAACAAAAATAGATATAAAAATATACATTCACTTCTTGTATGTTTTGCACCCATTTTAGCAGAGGTACAAGAACAGTGTCTATACTCTTATTACGCTTGGCATTTAGGAGATAAACAGGGCTTATCCCCACAGCCAGCAATGTGCACATCAAAGATGTGTATGTCATCACAACAAAGGAGCAGGTTTAAGACCTTACTGCTCACTATGTTTGCACATGTAGCAATTACAGTTAAAAATAAGGGCAAGCTCTTACAGTTCCATCAGGAAGGTGTGTGAATGCCGGAGGAACTGAAAAAGAAAAATCATCCATACTAAAAATAAGGCACATCTTTTGGTGAGCAGGCAAAACGTGTTAAAGTGAACTACGATGCGATACTAGGACAGACAAGAGGGACACCAGAATGCAGAGCTGATTTCCGAATACTTTTAATAGCGGGACACTAACATATATGTAGCAAATAGACAAGTTCTATCTATTTGCTATAAAGTCCATACAATTGCTCGCGAAAACTGAAGCCGGTTGTACAAAATCAATTGTATGCCGGACAGCATTTGATATACTTAAGGGATGCTGGACTGAAATTTGCGTCTTCAGAAAACGAGCCAGGAGCGATAGGTGGGACACAACAAACACCATAACATCACTCACACAGCGATATCTCAAACAGATGAGCTATATTTTTTTTATAAGATGGGCACGGTTGAACGAGGCTGACGAGGCTTTTTATCGCTGCGATTCTTATTCCCTCTCTTCGCTTCGCCATCTTGAGGAAGTGAACCGGAGCGAAGATGAGAGATAACGCGGCTTTTCAGACCATTTCTATACGCAAGGGTGGTTTTTTATCCCACATCAACCAGATACTTCCAACATCTCTGCCGGTGCCTTCATAAAATAGCAGTTTCATAGACACATATGTAGTTTTTATGTAGTGGCATACAAGTTATGTTGATCTGTAGTGTCAATTAAGGTCACTTCAAACACGGAATGCTTTGCTAAGGTGCTCTTGGTAATTTATGCACTTACCGGGGGCAGGGCTCTTTGCAGCAACTGCTTCAGGTCCGGCAGGACCCGCAGGTCTGGCAGGACCCGCAGGTCTGGCAGGACCCGCAGGTCTGGCAGGACCCGCAGGTCCTGTGCTCACTTGGCAAGCTCCAGGGGGGGGACCTTGTGACAGAACAGTGTCAGTATAAGTTGGTTGCTGCAAAGGATTCATTTCAGCAGTTGATGCACTTACGCTGTGCAGAACTGTTCTTGGTAGCTGCTGCAGTGCTGAGACAAGCTGCAGGTAGTGCACTCTTCTGGAGGACACCAGCGTCACACCTTGTGGCAGGATATGTCGTGCCTGTGAAAATTAAAGGGTACACATGCACTTCCAACTACTATAAGAGTACCTGCTATAAACAAAAGCAGCTTCAGACATTCAAGAAGCATAAAAGTGCTTACAAGGCAGTGATTCACCTTGATGGGCTGCTCCCCGCATAATGGCATCTGCTGCCGTGTCAGTGCTCGCAGCCACAGCTATTAAAATTGAAAATTCAACAAATGTTCAATACATATGCATCATATATTTACATCGATGCAGCTTTCACAAGAACTCCGATATGACAGTTAAGACTTACCTTCACTGTGCTGCTCCACCAGATCATGCTGAGCATCTGCAAGATCCTCAACTGCAACATTTGATAACATTGAATGAAACTAAATCAGCTGCAGCTTCATTTATTTGCCTCACCATATTTTATACATTTAGTTGCACCATTTACAAGATGAGCTCACATTTGAAAGGTGTATGCCATGAACCAAGCCTGCCATTTATACTGTTTTATTTATGCAGGACTCACAAACTGTGGTGTTTGCAGAATCACTTACCTTCATTTCGCCTGAAATATTCGCACTCGCTGCTTTTTTCAGCTGAAAAATAATACTTAAATGTAGCGCTTATAATTAAAATGATCCACCTTAGCATGTCGTCATAAACAAACCCATGAAGCACAATTTTTTGACACAGACATGTGCTAGTAGTTACTGGCAGAATTTGTGAAATGCACTGTCCTAGTGCTAGACTTTTAGCAGAAATCTGCATAAAAGCATATATGCAGTATAATCAAAAACACACATTCAACAGCTGCTAGCTGAAGAAAGGTAAGACAGTAGTAAATATTCCTGAACGTAGAGACAATTCTGGGAGTTGGCAGAGTAATTTTTCATTTCAACACTTGGAGCATAGCTGCACCTCTAGGATGTTCTTACCTTGAAATATTTTACTTTCTAAGCAGCGCTGCAGTGAGGAAACCTGCTCTTTCAAAAATTTCTTGTCCTCTTCAAGCTGTCTTGCTTTTGTTCTCCAGGCACGAGTCTCTGCTTGTGCTTGGCGCAGCTCTGTCGCTGAGCATAAAGAATCGTCTTCATCTGATGAACTGACTGACTCCTGCCGCAACCTTTTTGGGACCTGAAAAGTAAAACGTTTAACGTCAGCCTTCCCGCATCGTTAAAGACAGAAGAGGTGCTGAGCTATTACTTACTGACTGTGCCCGATGAATTCGGTCAGAAGGCCCTGCCTTGGTGCTTTTGTGGGCGTGATGTAAATGCTTTTCCAATATTTCGCTATACACAGCATTCTTCGAGGTTGTTCGCAGCTGTTTTTGCCTCTGTGACACCTGGCACATAAGAAAGGAACAACAATGTTGGAGGCAGGTATGTGCATAAATTCTTAATCACCTTTATGGCACTTATTTTCAAAAGGTTAACACGAGTTTGTAAAAATTGATTAGTGAGAGTCAGCCCATGCTGCTTCTTGGAATACTTAAATTCTGCATTAATTAGCACTGAGTTCAAAGGAGAATACCAGAGTTCACAGTTAAGTGCTGTATACAAATACATCAAAGTTGCATGCTTACCTTCTTCTGTTGCATTTTTTTACTTGGAACATCATCGTCGGAGCTTTCCTCTAATCTTGCTTTAGGAAAAGCGATCCTCTTCGACTCCTTTTTTTTCGTGAGCTCTTCCTCGGTTTCTGTGGGTCAAGCAGCGATTCAAAAATGATTTCCTTATAGGTCATGATTAACCGAAGCATGTCTCTTTTTCCAAAAAGCACAGGCTGACTATGCAATCTGAATTCACTAACGGATGCAGTGAGGTTTGAAGCCGATAGTGATGCTATTAGTTAAAAAATTAATTTTTTGTTCATAGCATTAGGACACTAGGCACCTATACATGGCTTGCATGATATATATTATATCCGCGTCCTCCTTGCTGACGGCAGAAACCTGCCGTGAGTGCAGGGGAAGCTGCACTCACTCCTTTCAGCTCGCTCGTAATGTTTGCTTCCTGTTTGTAGAATAAGTACAAATAAAGGCTACGCTCAAGGAAAGTTTTGCCCCTAAAGAGGAGGACCAAATTACGTCAGTGCAACCTATCTGTACTGTGCGCAGATCACATACACACATTCCCTCAACCGTTTTTGATCAGCTAGTCGCAGCTTTCGCAATTATTCATGATACACGCGCCGTCCGACTTTCTTTCGGACGCCGCTTGTAGGCGCCAGTGGCCGTCGGACGGTATTCTAGACACAGCCAAAAACAAATGTAAATATCGCCAAATGCGTCGACAAAAGAAAATGTTCGAGAAAAAAAAAAAAAGTAACTCCGCACCGGGGATTGAACCCGGGGCCGCTTGTTTGTGAGGGATACATTGTACCACTAAGCTACACTACAGCTTCAAAAATTTCGCTTTGCGACCTCGTTTTATAGGAGACTTTCGGACGGCACTTGAACGTGCGAGTGGAGTACCGTCGGACGGCACTTGAACGCTCTGTAGGAGTGCCGTCGGATCGTCCAAGATTTAGATACCATTGGCATTTTTTGGTGAACTCGACGGCGTCAAACTGCGTTTTGACAGGTGTACCTGTGATAAATAATGGTACGTATACGTACCGGCTAGCAGAAGGACGTGGGCACTATAAAACCCCGTGTTTTCTCCGTTGCCTTCAGAGTCTTCGTGAAACACCATGTAGGTCGACTTTTTGTCGAAATCGTCCGTGCTAGTCGGAGAGAAGCCATCGATGCTGCTTGTAGAAACGATATGCAGTCGCTTGTTGTTGTGGTCGTCCACAAATCGAACTAGCGCAAACATTTTGAAGAGCGAATGCACGTGGTCCGAGTAGAGAAAAGCAAGCAACCGTCAAAATACTAGCGGACGTGCGAATACCACAGCGCGGTGACCATGGTTGCCGCGTCCGCAACGCGTCTAAAGAATACTATATGCTAGCAATTATTAAATAATATTTTAACTTTTTAAAATAGGAACAAACTATTAGTTGACTCAAACTATGGCACATTGATACTTTAGACCCATGTTGTTGTAAAAGCGTGTTTCTATTTACTTTAGAGGAATAATTTCGCGAGTTCGCTTTGGCTTGGCTTGTCTTGTCCAGATTTCTTGACCATCGGCTTTCTACAGCTTTTCTTGTGCCTGCAGCTGTCGTGGGTGATCTGCTTGATCTGCGTTTGAGTTTGCACGTGTATGCTGTGAAAATGCCTCCGCGGAAGCGGTATCTTGAATATGGAGCCGACATAGCAGACCTACCATACACAACGAAAAAAAGGTCTTTTGACGAGCGCGAAACGGACCTGCAAGCGCCTGACGAGACCGATGAGTGCACGCCTGCCGAGAGCGACGACTTATTGCCTGCCGAAAGAGATGGCGGCTCGTCTGCTGAAAGCGACGACCACTCTGTGCCTGCCGAAAGCGACGACCACTCTGTGCCTGCCGAAAGCGACGACGACTCTGCACCCGCCGAAAGCGATGACTCGCTTGCGTCAAGTCCTAGTGCTACCCGCGCCACACCACCGCCGCCAACACCACAACCCGGCGGCTCTCCAGGAACTCGGCAAGAACCGCAAGAGGAGGCCGAGCTAACCGCCAATGACCTGTTAGCGCTATCCGTGGGCTTCATCATAGAGTTCGGACTCCCGTGGAAGGCGGTCGAAACTCTACAGAAGATGATGTCCTACGTTCTGAAAAGATGCGACGTGCCGGCAACCAAGTACTTGTTTAAAAAGAACGCCGGTATCACTGTTGAGACTGCCAAGTTTCATTTTTACTGCAACGACTGCAAAAGACTAGTCGCCTCCACATCGGGTCGCCTTGCTGACCGCAACGCAGTTCAGGCCCCCTGCCCCAACTGCGGCAAACTCTGTGATGGTCGGCAGATGTTGATTGACGGCCACTTTTTTTTGAGCATGCCGATCCGGAAACAGATAACAGAGTTGCTTTCGAGAGAAGAAATTTCTAGTGCTCTAACTAAGCGCCTGCAAGAAATAGATGCTCACCACGACAATGGCAGTGATGGGATGTCGGATATTTCCGACGGTGACGCATACAAAGCCGTCCGGGAAAAGATGGATTTGCACGATTTAACGCTGACCATCAATTCCGACGGAAGTCCGCTTTTCAATTCCTCCAAATACTCGATATGGCCGGTGCAAGTGATGATCAACGAACTTCCGCCACACCTCCGGCACAAGAATGTCCTCGTCACCATGCTGTGGTATGGACAGACCCATCCCGACATGCCACTACTGCTGACGGCCTTCGTTGATCAAATGGAAGACTTATCTTGTGAGGGAATTACCTGGGAGGCAGGCACAAGAACTGTTTGTTCAAAGGTATGTGCATATAGTATACAGGGCTTGCATGTGATATCAAAGCCGTCGTCCTTGCTGGTGGTAGAAGCCTGCCATTAATGCATTGGAAGCTGCGCTCGCTCGTTTTTGCTTGCTCGCAATGCTCGTTTCCCCGTTTCTACAATTAGTACAGTAAAGGGTGCGCTCTACCACCAGAAAGGACCAAAGTATGTCAGTGCAAGCTATGTGTATAAGGGCCTTTGTACCAAGCGTATTTCTTCTCTGTTCATGTGTTTCGCACTGTTTATATATTAGGATCAACGAATACCAACTCAACTTTCGACGTTACTTTGTACCAAGCTTTGTTGGCCGGCTTTTACTCACGGCAAGAATTCACATACTTTTTGGTCTCTTGAGCGGGGGATCTTTAACCAGGTTCGGTCGCAACGTGCAGATGGCAGATTAGACATACTCAGAGAAAAACTGTACCCATACGTAAAAACAGGGGCACTGCAGATAGATTAAATATAAAATGTTAAATCGTGAGTGGTATGGCGGTGACCGCAGGGGCACGTGGCTCAGTTGCTGGGTCCAATTGATATTGGTTATGCTCAGCAGTGGTCACAAGGGGAAGGAAAGAAAAGAAGGGTATCACTTTCAGCATGGCAGACGGCCGGAAAGTACAGGGACGCGGCCAGTTAACAAATTTGCATTGTATGCGCTATGTTGTGCAACTTTTTGCCTCCTCATTGGCTCATTGCAAGGGTCGCAATGGCAACCTGCAGTCACGTTTTGTTGTAAGCAAATGTAGCGCAGATGTGTGAACAGGCCTTAAGAGAGCTAATTTCTTAGCTCACAGTGGTACGATGAATGCAACATGACTTTATGTTATCGATTATCTTTACTCATTTTGTTAATAGAAATATAGTTTTTATTTATTTTATTTAAATACCTGTGGTTCTGTAAATGAAGCGAAGAAAAATCCAGTTTTCAAAGAGCTTGAAGTTTCCGAGCTACAGCGAGCACTCTACAATGAAAGCAATGTATTTTGGCATCGCGCGATCCGTGCCGCAAGCCACTCAGACATGGGGCGACATGGTAGATCGCCGGCAAGCACTACAATATAATATAGATTATAGCGGCTCTGTGGTGCATTTTATAAGCAACTGCATTCTTTTCCTGCAGATCCATTGCTTCAGCTGCTGCGCTGATGCCCCTGCCAGGGCAATTATGCAAAATATGTTGCAGTATAATGGGCACTACGGGTGTGGATGGTGCCTGCACCCTGGAACTGTCATCAATGGTGGGGAACTTCTTCTAACAAAGCATTTGGCAAGAAAAGAAATCAAAGTGGTTCTTTATTGCCATTTTTGAGCTATGTATACTATTTGTGCTGTCTAAGTGCTCACTAAATGAGCTTGAAGCTATTCTGCCAGACATAAATGTTGTCAGTTATTGCACAAGAGGCGGCAGCATGGTGCTGTATGCAGTGGTTTCTGTGGTCTGTTTGCATTAATGTGCACCTAATTAATAAACAAGCATGCCAAAAACCCTACTACATTCAAGAGCCCGGAACACTACAATTACTGCTATAACACTGGTTTCACATTTTAGGTTTGATTTGCCTATTACCAAATACCAGTCCTCCTTTGCGGCATTCATTTTGCCTGGTTGTAAATTATCTGTAAAAGAAAATTTGATTCATGTGGCTTACTTGCTTAACATTTAATACCTTTTGTTTTCCAAACAGGAACTGTCAAGTACACTGTTGATGAAGTGGTGGAGGACAGGGACACGGACCGGACCCTGGCACTGATGAAGAGAGCGGCTGCCAGCGACAAGCCCATCAAAGGCGTAAAGGGTCCAACACCCCTCATGAATCTCCCCAGATTTGACGTAATCTGGGGATTTACACCAGATTATATGCATTGTGTTTTGCTCGGCACAACGCGGCAGCTCACAGAGCTGTGGCTGACCAGCGTGGGAGAGGATTTCTACATTGGCTGTCCAGCACTTTTTGATGCACTTGATCAGAGGCTGCTTAGTATGAAACCACCATCATGCTTCCACAGACTGCAACGGTCGCTTTCCGTACGGAAGTACTGGAAAGCGACCGAATGGCAGCAGTGGCTGCTGTGCTTTTCTTTACCATGCTTGGATGGCATACTGCATTCAAAGTTTTTGTGTCACTTTGCCTTACTAGTAAAAGGTATTTATCTTTTGCTGCAAGACAATGTCACCAAGGGTGATGTCACAGAGAGCATCAATTGTCTCGTGAAGTTTGTTGTTGATGTCCAGGTGCTTTATGATGAGAAGCAGATGACATTCAACATCCACCAGATGCTACACCTGTCCAAAAGTGTGCTGCACCAAGGCCCACTGTGGGCACATTCTTGTTTTGCCTTTGAATCAAATATTGGCCAGGTGAAGGAGCTTGTTACATCGGCCAAGGGTGTGCCATTGCAAATTGTGGAGCGCCTTATGATGAGAAGTTTGTTTCCTGGCCTAAAAGCCTTAGCTTGTCCTGAGACACAGTCATTTTTAAGTGGAGGCAGCGTCTCAAATCGAGGGACTGTCGCACCACTTGGCAAGCCACGGCAAGTGCCACTACCACTTTTGGAGTTGGCCCAGAGCCAGATTGGACATATTATAAGCGGTCAAGTGATGGAGCATGATAGGGTTGCGGTGTCCCAGTTTGTGTTCCATAGTGAGCAGTATGGAAGACCGAACAAAACTGACTGCACAGCTGCAATCTTACCATCCAAAGTGTACATAAAAATTAAGCACTTGCTGTCTTTTCAGGACACAAATGGACAGGCCAAGATTTTTGCCGTGTCACCTAGATTTGTAACAACACCTGTTCAAAAATGCACTCACATAGTGAAAGCGCGCCAGGTGCCTCCTGGACATGCTGCCAGTAATCTACTTGTTGAAATAGCGCCTGGTGTTGTGCCCTGTGTATACATGCACACTGGGGCGAATAGCTACTTTGTGTCTTTAGCCTTTAAGGCTCTTTTTAGAAGTGAGTAAGCTGGGTCCCTCTTCCTGTGTGGCACAAAAGAGCAGTCTCTGTAGCTCGATCCTACTTGCCAAATAAATAGAAGTTGCTTCTCGTCATCAAGTACCAGAAAAAGGCCAGTTGGTGTCTGTCTCAAATTCTTAGCTTTGCTAGCTAACTGCTTCAACTGCTGCCAGCTCTGGCCCAATCAAATTTGCCAGCTCATGCTCACGTGGCACAAATTCTAAACACTTGCTTGTTTAAGCTGTACCCCGGCTTGTCCCACCTGATCTCCAGCTCATATGCCACATGTTTTTACAACAGCGGCCAAAATATTAAAAAAAAGGAACTTTAGAGCATTCAATATTGCGTTTAGAGCACTCAATATTGCCATTAGCTTGTCCGACTTTTCAATCACATATAGTATCAAGACTGTGCAATTAAGCACCTAATTTTACAAATGTATGTTAACTAACTTTTTAATTAGTAAAAATAAACATTTATGTTTCAACTAGAAACTTCATGGGGATCGTTGAAAACCACTAAATCAGTCAAATTTAGAAAGGTAGGCAGCGCGTGTACCGTCTCCTGAGAATGCGTCGCGCACCGCTGGATTTTTCAGTTCTCATCCACATTTTCTCTCAGAGCGGCCGCCAGGTCGGGCAAGCTAATGGTAATATTGAGAGTGCTTTAAGCATATGTTGGCCAATCTCAGCAAAAACACCTATATCAGCAGCTCCAGCTGAACCCAACTATGTGCCAGCTAAGAACCAGCTGGACAGCTTAGTGCTTGCTGGTCCCAGCTAGGTGCTTGCTGGTCCCAGCTAAGTGCTTGTTGGTCCCAGCTGGTTCCAATTAAGGGCTAGCTGGTCCCAGCTGGCCCCAACTAAGGGCTAGCTGGTCCCAGCTAAGGGCTAGCTGGTCCCAGCTAAGGGTTAGCTGGTCCCAGCTAAGGGCTAGTTGGTCCCAGCTAAGTTCCAGCTGGGACCAGCTGAAACCAACTGGGACCAGCTGAAACCAACTGGGACCAGCTGAAACCAACTAGGACCAGCTGGAACCAACTAGGACCAGCTAGATACCAACTGGATATTTTCTCCTGGGCAGGCAATACGCCGCGTCCTGTCTAGTTTTCCCTTCGTTTTCGTCCTTGATGTATTGGCCTATTACACCATGAGGCAATCAATACACGCAAGTCTAAAGGCCCGTTCACACTCTTGCGACCGAGTACGACTGAGAGAGACGAGATCTCTTAAAACTTCTTAAATTTCTTTAGAATGAGGGAACACACTGGCATTGTGGCGCCATCTATGCGGTGACCCTGGAACTGCATTTCACAAGAGCGAAGGTTTTGCGGGATTTCCGAGGTCAAATGTGCGTAATACCCACAGAAAGGCTCGTTTATAACATTGACAAAAGTTTTTCGAGCCAAGAAAGAAAGGATAATGCGCGAGAAATAAAAAGAAATATGCCGAAACGCCGAGTTTACACTGCTTCCCAATAGATGGCGCCAGTGTGTTCTCTGGTTTAAAGGGCAACTCCGGCCAAAACTCAAAATGAATTAAATTACTGGTATCGCTTTAGTGACACAAAATACGACCCCAGCCAAAATTTCACGTCCGTGGGACGCCGCGTTCTCAACTAATGCCGATAATAAAAACGCGACCCGCCGCGAGCCGCTGCTCCTTAGCGGGCAGCCAGCGGGTTGCCGATCGCTAAAGCAACATTGGGCCGTGATGTCAACATCGTTTTCTTTTTTTCCTTCGTTCCAGACGGGCGCACGGCGCAGCCGTCGCGCGCGCTTCTTTGTGCCGCTACTAGCGCTACTTCGGCTTGTAATTGCGTGTTTAGCCGTTGCTTTTACCTGTAGCCCATGTAGCTTCGGTATAGCCTTTTGTTTATTTGCTTGTGAGCACTCCTAGACTCGTTTTAGCGAGCAACTCGGTGCGCCCAAGACTGCCCAGCTGTTCCTGTGGGCTGCTCAAACAAGCCGCTGCGCAACCCGGAGGTGCTTCTTCACAAGTTTCCAACGGCTCGGAAATTGGAGAAGGTGTGGGTGAACGCTGTTCGACGAGTGGGCTTTGGAAAGCCTTGGACGTCGACCCCCAGATCGAGGCTCTGCTCCGATCATTTTTCGCTGGAAAGTTACGAACGAAACCTACAGGTGTTGGTTGCTTGTGGCTTGTCAGCGAAGGGGTCGAGGCTTAAAAAGGATGCCGTGCCGTCGCTCTTCGCCCATCGTACATGTACAGAAAAGGTAAACATAATAAAAGTATCCTGATCAATAAATAAAACAGTCATTGTCAAGTGCAGTGTTGAAGATTAAGCATTCACGCTCCATTGAATGTCTGTTGAATTGGGAATGGTGGGCATGTAGAGTACAACCACTAACTAGCTCCAAACACTGAAGTTTGTAATGAAAACGAAAACAATGTTCTGCTTTGCGTCACTGCTTGTTTACTACGCAGTTCATGCGATATAAACATTCGCCTCCCAATCGTTCGAACCCGTTACGCAGCAGTATTAATTAACATTGCGCTTGTGAATACCACAAGGGAATTTAAAGAAATCGCTAAAGTTCGGATTCGTAAGTTACAACTCTCTAATTTGCCCGAGTTCGGCTGGAGGTAAATATATTATTTAAAAATGCAAAAAAAACAAAAAAAAAAACACTTGCCTTAGTCAAAAGTTACGAAGGAAAACTTAAAATCCTATGGATTCTAATAAAAAAAAAATGTTGTGGGTGGGGGTGGGAATGCGGAAGGGAAAGAAAGTGTTCTCACCTTGCTAACGTTCTCTGTTTTCCTTTATCACCCACAAAAACTTTTGCTAGCTTTGAGAAGAAAATGACTGCCCAAAGAACTTTTTTTTTTTTTTTTAGTGCGGGAAGTTTTTTTTTATTTGTACAAAGATTCACTACCTGGACGAACTTAAGTGGTGAATTAGTGTCGTAGCTTACAAATTCGGCTTTTACGCGCCTGAGGAAAAAATAACGAAAAAACAGACGTCTACAGCTTGACACACGTCTGTTCGGTTGCCGCGGAACGCGCCGGAGAGCCTCAAAGCTTCGTGTCTGGGACTGACCCGCCGCGCGAAAGCGCCAGCACTGTATGTAGAGCAACGCCGCTCCATCCACGGAGCCCCGATGACAATTTAGGCCTAGCGACGAGTGCGGGAGACCGCACGCACGCCGACAGCTGCCGAGTACGGCACCGAACGAGTTCACTCGTTTTCCAGTCGCTAGCTTTTGGGTATACAAGCAACGAATACGGCACGGCATAGCGCACGCGCGGCGGCGGCCGCCGAGTACGCCACCGAACGAGTTGACGGGTTTTCCAGTCGCTAGCTTTTGGGTATACGCACTAACTCTTGCTACATATGCTGGATAACTACCACGTATACAGAATTAAAACAAAATCAGCTTACCTTCTATCTTTAGACGGCTAGCGCAACAGAGGTAAGTGCCGCTTAGACTGCGTACCCGCTGAGCGAGAACGATCTTGGCGTCACGTCCACAAAACGGCTGATTTCCAGTGTTGCCGGAACCTCGAGCGGCTAGTTTCGGTTTTGTCGGCCGCGCCCCAAACAAAACTTTGAGACGTCGATATCTTTAAAACTACGCACAATAACGAGAAAAAATTTACACCTTGCAATTCAGGGGCGCTAACTGCACTAAAAACAGCCATAATCCCAAAATCGAAAGTATGGACCGGAGTTGCCCTTTAAGAGGTCGCAAGAGTGTGAACGGACCTTAAAGGCTCGTTCACACTCTTGCAACCGAGTACGACCGAGAGAGACAAGACCAGTTTTTAATCCTTTTACGACGTCTTAGGACCAGCTCCGCAGCAGCGCGCCCGGTTCTAAGAAGTATATGACTTTTTTCTTTCGCTTTTTCCAATGTCCCTCCTCTCCTTTGGTCTCTCTAAAAGCGCCTTGCAACTGTATTTTCTGCACACTTGAAGAAGGGAAGTCTCTTCCCGAAACGTCGTGTATTAAAGCCTCTACTGATGTTCAAACATTTTTCTACGTTTACGACTTTCTTGGTGAAGACTTGTTCATTAATAAAGTTGTAAGGGGATTAAAAACCGGTCTTGTCTCTCTCGGTCGTACTCAGTTGCAAGAGTGTGAACGAGCCTTAAGGGAGAAACTCGCAAAAATTGGAAGCTTGTACGCGGTGCTCGAGCGCGAGCATTTTATGACGTGCTGCGATGATTATATCGGGTGTTTGGAGATCAAATCGACATTCGTCAAGCGTTTGAACATCGATTAAAACGAAAATCGGCCGGAGCACCATTGACTTTACCGACGTCGCTTGCTTCGGTTGTTAAATAAATGGCACGTTCAGCGACTGAACGGCACGCTCCGAGTTTCAGTTTGTCACGGAAGCCCTCTCAGCAGTTCAAAGAAAAAGCTGTCACCATGAAGCACTATGTCCAAGCGGTTAGAACGATGCGAATGTCCTCAGTAAAGGCCTTCTAACTTATCGTTTGCTGAGCTTTGATGACTCCAAAATCACGTATGACTCCTCAATAACCCTCGGTAGCCCTTGTCTGATTAAACACATCACAGTTAACGCCCAAGAAAGTCGCTCTCGACTTTCAACCGCACAACATTTAGTTAAACAAGATTGGTATTCTAACGCGTTTAATATTCTTGCCGATTATATTAACTGTTATTTGCGGAAACACCGATAGAAGTTTCATAGTAGAGAACAACCAAATAAAATTGAGTTTTCCCGTTTCTCTTATAGCCTGGATAAGATCGTGTCAAGCGACGACTGCCGGTGGTGCCGCTCGACCCCTGCAATACAGGCCTCTATCCGCGATCTAGCCTCCTAAGAAATCAGTGGTGCCAGTACTATTAGACATAAATCGTTTATTTGCATCGGTGCACCCATACCTGCCAGAGGTCGGGACGAGGCGGAAAATCGTACATCCGGCCAATATTGAAGCTGGTTTTCGGCCGAAATTGCCTCGGCACTCGCCAAGAAACAACGTGCTGTTTCGGCGACTCGTTTGTGTAATTTATTTGTTCAGTCATATTGTCACG